ATTGATCGCTGAGTAAAGGGTGGACTAGCCTCACACCGCCTTCCTAAATGCATCGCTGCAATGGTGAGATCGTTGAGTAAGAGGGTGGACTGGCCTCACCACCTTCCTAAATGTATCGCTGCAATGGCGGGTAAAGAGGCTGAGAAGCACTCTCAGCAAGCAAGTTGAGAAGCACTCTCAGCAAGCAAGGTGGCCCGCAAGCATCCCAAAAATTACCTTCTATCATCGACTCCTTGTAAAGGACAAAGAGATGATGAGAAGAACTTCGATGGTAAAAACTTTGCTGCTGGCCAAAAAATATTTCCTATACCTCCCACACCAAAGGTGACATCAAGGCAAATAGTAAAATGGGCGGACTAAACAATCCATTTTATAGAAAGACGAAGGTTTCGGATCGGAATGATTGTGAGAGTGCAAAACAATGGCAGAAAATTGGTTTCGAAGAAGAAAATGAAGATGAAGATGGAAGATGGAAAATGCGAAGCATACGTGCATTTATAGGGGGTGGAGATGAAGAGACAGAATATGAGCAGCCACATTTTGTCTAGTAAATGAAATTAAATAGCCCAAAGTTTTGGGAAAAGTGGTGGAAATATCAAAAGAAAATGTGCAAGATTTTTAGCACAAAGCAGTTAAATGCTTGAAAAATTGGCGATTAAAAGACAAACGTCAAATAAATGCACGAGAAGTTAACATATATGTTCATTAATGATGAACGAAGTTACAAAGGGGAAAATCAAATGCGAAATTACAAAAGAAAAAGGCGTCATATGTCTTAATTACAGTCCACCCCACACTGAACGAATTCGCTCCCTAAGTTTTTCCCAATCCTCGTTCTGCCGAGAGGAAGTGATGTTCAATTCGGCCACGACATCATCATCAACTTCCAACTTTTTGTACTGCTCAACCAAGGACTTAGTTCGCTCAATTCCCTAGGAGGCGTTGCGCTTTTTAGCAGCCATCCTCGCCTTGCAGTCGTCCATTTTGGCTTGAAGTTCCTTCATCTGAGCAGCCAAATTAACCATCAAAGAGTCTTCAATCATGATTTCGGAAGAGATTTCTTTCAACTCGTCCTCAGCCTTGTTGATCTCCATACACAAAGACTCTTTCTCAGATACGGCTCGAAGATATTGAGTACTTTTGGCCTTTAGTTCAGCATTCTTGGCCAGCAAAGAAAGGACCTCAAAGTGGATAACCTTCAACGTCGCTTTAAAATCGGCAGAAAGATTGAGCTACGGAAGCGTCAGTGCTTGCTCCAACTTCGCATTCAAATGCTCAAGTTTATCCTTGTGTCTGGCAGCACTAGTCCTACCAATATCCATATCCATGAAGAACACGTACTCAAATATTGACTGCTTGAGGAACTTCAAATCTTCCTCTGAAGAAGCAGCAGGACGATCAGATGGAGCGGAGCGAGATGTCTTGAATTGGCCCCAGGAAGCGAACAAGTTTTGGATAGAACGTACAATCTTGTCAGCATCCTGCAAAGAAAATTGCCAATATTGAAGATTCTCACTACAACGAACAAGATGGAAATAAAAGTGAAGCAAAGATTACCTCATCAACAATCGTGGAAGATGGTATATCCTCAGCCAAGTCTGCCACCTGTGACTCCTCCATTCGTGAGGACTTCCCTTTGTCTGAACGAGAAGATGTTGCCACAACGAGTAGACTCATAGGAGTATCTGCAGAACTCAAGAGCCGCAAATCAGAAACCAATGGCACAAGCAAAGGTAAGGCATGAATTACCTTCTGCTTCGATGTTTGGGGGGTTGATGCCCTGGGAAGAGAGTAGCTCATCCATGGGTTGTGATGAGAATTCTGGGACTGAAGATGTCTCTTTAAGCGTAGTCCCCTCATCAACTGGTTTGGATGAAGCAGACTCAGCGGAGGATGATGGAGCAGGAGCTGTCGATGCCAAACCCTTTGAAGGAGAGGCTGAACTTTTCTGAGGAATCCAAATAAATCGTCAGCACACAGAAAAGTTTCAAGTATGGAAAAGTATGCTTGTGGGTAAACCAATTTAATTACCTTCCTCCTGACGATAAGAGGGGTATCATCATCAACATCATCCTCCAGAATGGGAGATGCTGAGGCTGGCCGTTTGCGACTTGGGGCACTCTTGGCTGTAGTGGGCTTGGCAAGGAGAGAAAAAGATGGATGAGCAGACTGTTTAGCGCGACGAGGAGGAGAAGGACTCCGAATGGACAAAGGAGTGATTAAAACAGGAGGAGGGGAAGAAATGCTCGGCTGGTCTAGTGAATAAAAGACACGATTGACATCAGTCGCAAATAATCTGCGCTTCACTGACGGCCAGAGCTGCTCAAAAAGAGGATGGATGACGTGGCTAGAATTGAAGGGGCTAATGAAAAATAGCTGGTTAAAAGAAGATTGCGAGCATTTATAGCCTCTGCCTCCGCCTTATTAATAATATGAAAACGGTCAATTAAGTTCCTTGAATAGCAAGGAGGAACATGCCAAATTTGGCTGAAACCAAGCTGGCGAGCAAAAAATTGGGGAGCATAACTTTCTACCCCTGCCTTGGCATTGGTCCCAGTTAAAATATCATGAAATAGCTCCCTCCCGGGTAAAAATTGGATCCAAATGAACAGGGAGGTGCTCGCGCTGTCTATAGTGGAGCGGGGATGTACATAGTTTAGAGTGAAAAAAGGAGGAAAAGGAAAAAAGGAAGAGATTGAATCCAAAGAATAGAAGAATGAAAAAAGTCCCTTCTGGACATATTTATAGGAGCCAAGGGCTCCATAGCTAGCCCATAACAGCTAGCAGAGGAGCGAGAAAATTGATGGAGCACCAAGCATTGGAAAATAGGATCTCAACCACAGTTGAGTGAACCAAAGAGGTCCACTACTAGTGGGAAATGCACCATTCTTCAATTGAGTTTGAAGAGAGGTCATACATCTATAAAGGGCAGCCAAAAAGAAAGAACATAAATTCAAAGGCCTGCCACGCGCCAATTCTTGCGCTATGGGTAAATAACTCAGGCTTGGCACACACAAAACATATTTACAATGTCAAACTAGAAGAAAAGCCACTCGCTCAGTATGGGAAGGCTCAGCGCTTGAATGATTGTGAAGGGTTTGCAGGCTTGAATAAGACTCGGTGTAGTTTTTACCAAACTTTGGGGCGCCACCAGAAACCAAGATACCAGGAAAAATGGTATCACCCAAAGGTGGTAGATTCACTAGTGCCCCAACATCCCTTAAAGTAATAGACATGGGGCCAAGAGGGAAAATAAAGGTATTATACTCAGAAGACCAAAAACTCAAAGCAATCCAAAAAAATGCTGAATCAAAAGTATGGGGGCGAATAGAGATTTCTAACAAATCAGAATCCTAGCATTATCAAAAAGTGTCTTAATAGGACCATGACCCACAAGACGAGCATGTCACCTACGGAAAGCTACATCAGATTTAGGCCAAGTGCGAATACCTCTTTTGCGAAATGGCCCCAGCGGCAGAGAGTTTAAAAATGGAAGGCCTTGAGTACAAGGAAACAGCTGGCCCACCACCGCCTGTTCGACTGCCTCTGCAATGTTGAAGAAAGGACCTAAGTAGAACTCATTGCGTTCGACATCGACGGGCGCGAGAAAACTCGGAGTTATGTATGGACGACTCAGAAGTTTCTGAAAGTCATCAAAACTAAAGGAGTCACCAGCTTGAGATTGTGAAGTAGCCATTTGAGATGGAACGAAATTTTTTTAGAGTTACGTAGTAGGGAAGCAAAAGATGAACAGTAAATCGTGGGAGAGACACGAAAAATTGAGGCGTGATTTAATGGTGCAGTGAAATAGCGTGTTTGGGGGTTATAAGAGTTTGCAAAACGACGCACCTTTTCAAGTTATGGAAGAAAACAATGATTGAAATTCTTGGGAATTTCGAATGTTGCTGAAAATACAAAGTGAATATGGCAAAATTTAATAATTATTATTAATTCTGCTATATTGGGGGGTAATTGTTGACACATAAAAATTCAGCCCAAATCGAACGGCCCAAAGAATGAAGCCCAATTGGAGGATCCCCAAATCAGATAGCCCAAAGAACGAAACCCAATCAAACAATTCAAAATGAAGGCCTAAGAACGAGGTAACGCCATCGTCCAAGTTTGCAAGTCACCCAGAATTTGAGCGAATGGAGTGCCATGCTGTCGCCCATAGGTGTTACTCTATTCTCGCCTAGACCTTCAAGTCGTCCAAGGTTTTAGCAAACATAAAGTGTTGTGGTTATCAAGAATTACAGTTATCAAAGCAGTTATTAAAGCAGCCCTATCACGTTCCACGATTCAAGGAAGTCAATCAAAAACGGTTGAACGACGAAAAGTAATGACAGCAGTTAAAAAAAGGCAGTTTCATGACAATTTGGCCATTACAAGAAAAGTGGGCAGTTGTAAAACGATCAAACAGTTTTTAGCCGATTGATCACAAAGAGATCATCCATGAAGTATAAAAGTGAGAAAAGACATAGAGCAAAGGATCGAATCAAAAAACTCTCGAATAGAAAACATATAATTTTAATTTCCTTAGCTTAGATTTAAACACTTTTTTCAGTAACTCGTGTGCTTGCACCCCTTGAAAGTACTTTGTTTTTAATTTCCAATTGTAAAGTCATCGTCAATAAAAGAACACCCATTTTTGAAACTGTCTCAAGAGGTTTGTCCCTTACACAATCGTCTGATCCCTTTTAATTGTTAGCGACTAACCTTCGCGAAACACATATAAACTAATCTTAGTAGCTAGCTCTTTCCCAGATACGAAGCAACAGACACAAAATCATTGCCGAGCAACTACATACCGAAATATTAAGCATGTTTCTCAATCTTTAAAGTATAACTCTTAAACTTTAACTCATTTTTAATCACACGTTTACACGATAAAATATTTTACCCCGTAAATTCAAAATATTTCAATACTTTTAAATCACAAATTCTTCAAAAAAAAAAAAAAAAAAAAAAAAAAAAAAAAAAAAAAAAACACACAAATTTACTACTAAAAATAACATTATTTTTTTTCTTAATGATGACTGCCAAACAGGGGCGGCTTCAAGGGACTCACGAAACATAAGACCTACAAACCCATGATATTTTCCATTATTTGTTACACATTAATACCAAAAAACGAGTCATGTACCACCTAATGCTACTCATAACGCTCAAAGTCCCTTCTTGATTTACATTTAAACTAACATCACTTGATATCAACCAGAAACACATCCTTCCTCTCTTCCTCCTTCACTTTAGGCACCATAACTTTCAATACGCCATTCTTCATCTCAGCCTTTATCCCATCAAGTTTATACAAATTTGGGGGCAAATCGAGCCTGCTCGAGTATCTTCTTCCGCGTTCATCATTCTCGGATTCTTTCTCACCTTCCCCTTTGATCACCAGGGTATTCTGCTCGACCAAGACTTTAACTTGGTCCTTGTCAAGTCCGGGCATGTCTAATCGGAGATAAAGTGCATCGTCGTCCTCTTTCACGTCCCATCCCCTCCTTACTCCGGCGCCAATTCCCATTCCACGGCCAGCAGGCATGAAAGGGATGTCCATAAACTGGTCCATCATATTCAGGACTTGGTTCAAACTTCTACCGGGAAAGAAGGGATCGAAGGCATCTGAGCAAGAATAAAAAAAATTGAGTTTATCAGCAAATGAGAACAGGAAATCTCCCACTATATTACATAAAAAAGCGGAAAAAAATTTTTACCAGAGAAGAAAGTTGGAAAATCGTCACGACGCCGAGCGACCGAACTGTCAGAACGGCGGTCAACATCGACTCTCCGATCATCCTCATCATAAGTGGTCATCTGAGTGTTAGTATTGTAGGAGCGCCTAACAGAGGGAGCCACCGAACAGACTCTGCCGGGGAACAGGAACCGGCTGAAGAGAGGGGCGCCGCCGACAGCTCTTCTTAGAGCGAGCGAATAAGCCATTGCTAAACTATTAGAGCACAGATTCAAATGATTTTGTCTTCGGTTTTGGTTTTCATAGGAGATAGAGAAGGAATATATATAGCTGTGACGGGGAGTGGAATGGGGAGGAGAAGATTTCTGTAGAAAGTTCTGAAGAATGGTGAAGTTTCTAGATAGATTCTTGAGAAGTTTATAGATATGAAGATGCTGGTTAACTCAAGCCGGGCTAGGCATGTAGTCTGAGTCCGGCCTGGCCCGCGGATTGCCTCGCTTGGGTCAGATCTATTTTGACACGGCTCCGTTGGGTCATTGGTTGGTCCATGCGATTCATGTGAGGCTGACTCGAAGCTTGTTCGATACAATTTTTTAAAAATTATTTTTAATCATCGTTTCACTTTTCAACCTCACATATTTTTTTAAAAAAAAAATTTCACTTAAAAAAAAATTTGTATTGAAGGAACATTTAAATACAACAGCTATGGGATTATTTGATATCCATTAAAATAAAATTTTTGAAAATTTTGAATTTTAAAATAGTGATTTTTGGATAATGTGTGATTAAAAAGTGGAAAAGAAAATTAAATTTATGTGCAAGATATTATATTGTGTGATTGAAAATAAATTTGAAAAAAAAATAAATGTAGTGAATGTCAAGTAAGAGCTAAGTTTAAAAGCCATTTTAAACGTTCTTAAACGGTTATCTTTACTATTATCACAACATTATTTGATATTCGTCTAGGGATGTCAACAAGTCAAATTGAAACTCAAAGCTCGAACTCGACCGAGTAAAAATAGTTCGAACTTTTTTGACTCGAGTCGTACCAAGTTTTTGCTCGGTCAAAAAATCTAGGCTCGACCTGCTTTCGGCTCAGGCCTTGGCTAGCCGAGTCGAGCCAGCTCTTTTTTTTTTTTTTTAAGCCGTGACAATTGTAACATTTTTTTAAAGAATATTAAATTTGAACAATTTATACGAATTATAAATTAAATAAAAGTTACAATACTCTTCATTTTTCGAGTTTGGGATATACTACAATCAACATAGACGGAATTAAAATTGTACACGAATAAATTTTTTTTGTACAATTTTTCTTAAAACAAATAAATTTAAGAATTACATATTTAAATAAATAAATATGAATTTTATCCCATATTTATAGCCCAAAAAAAAAAAAATTTTATTTTCAACCAAATTTGAATTTGAAATCCGAATTTTAAAGAAGGCAGCTTGTTGCGTAGCTACTTCAACTTTTACATTTTTATTTTGGTTCAAACAGCAAAATTTTTTAAATTCAAACGGGCCGGCCCATGTTGTTCGTCGAGCCAGATGGGCTAGCTTGGGCTCAAACAGGCGCCCAAAATGGGCCTCGGCTCAGTTTCTCTGAGCCACGAACCGAGCAGCTCGAGCTTTTCTCCGACCGAACCATGAATCATTCAAGCCAACGAGTCAAATTAACACTCCTATATTCGCAAGTTCTTTCAAGTTTATAACTAAAGAAGTGTTAAAAAGTCGAAACTAGAATCCTTGTCAATACTTTATAAGAGTTAAGCTATTTTTATATTATTTTTATACATCACTTTTGACATCATTCAAGTTGACACGGTTTGATTGGTAGAAAAATTGTTTATTTTTTTAAAATTGTACAATAAAAACCCTGTTTGAGCTCCATTATTTCCTCATTAAAATGAAAAATATAATCGTTATCCATTACATCACATCACCATATTTGACTTCCCCATTATTTCCTCATTAAAATGAAAAATATGACCGTTATCCATCACATCAAACCACCATATTTGACTTTTTATCTCTTTTATAGGGCCAATAATAACTATATTTTTCATTCTTATTTTTACAATAATGTGGCTCAAACGGGGGCGAAGTGTTGCCACGTGACACAATATAAAAAATGATATCCATATAGCATGATTAATTTTATAAGTCCTAATCCAGTTATGCTATATTAACAGATTAAATGACAATGATTTATACACGGATACACTTACATTTTCTCATCTACAGTTATAAAAATCGTCAATCAAAATTTGTCATTTCATTTCCTGGAAAAAGCCTATATCTTTGACATTGTTTGTTCATCTTTATTCCTCCTAATCTGCCCCTCAATTGATATTAGGGTCCGTTTAATTACAAGGAGGGAAAAGACAAACCAATTCCATGTAAGTTAGAAAAGAAAAAATCACCAACATCATAGGAATTAGATTTTTATGGAATTTGCCACAAACATGCTTTAAGTGTTTGCACCTTGAAATTCGAACTCCATTTCCACTTTCGTATCAAATAGCCAAAATAGAAAACGAATTCTTTGGATGTGACATTTTCCATAGAATTCGTTGCAATCAAACGGACCCTTACAATAATAATCAAGAAAATTTGTACTTTTCGTCTCCATAAATTGCAGGAAAACTTGTTCCTTTCAACCACTCATTCCATCTTTCTCCTAAAACACTACTTTTGGGTACCATTCCATTACACCAACAAAAGGACCATATATTGCATCCTTTCTCGGGCAAATCATCCCCAAGGTCTCTATAACCCATAGACAAACTCATTGTCTACTTA